AAAAAGAATGGCTGACTTTAATGGCCAAAGCCAGCCCAGAAGATGAATCCTACTCAGATTCTCTTATGGCGTTTTTGTCATCTTCTTCACTCCCTCCTTCTTTGTATTTCAGTGACAACAGCAACACTTTCCTGTCCCAGTTTCATCTTGTTATGTGAGCTGTGGACTCACTGCTTTAGACTCCCTTTAGACTCACAAGGTTTGGTGAGTGTTCCCACGTGCCTGGGGACTGGGGATGCTGTGCCCTCAAGAGCATATGCGACCTTGTTCCATTTCCCTTGCCCACACTCAGGCATTCACCATTTTATGTCTCTTAATTCTTTGTGTTTCCAATCTTTCTAACCCTGGAGCATAACGGATTAATCTCTCCAGAACACAGCTCCGAGCATTCACTCAAGGAACTACACGCGTTCCCTAATTCTTTTGTAGGTGTGCTTTATATTCTTATCTGGGAGAGTAAATGTACTGAGAATATGGATATCTTACAGTCTTTGAGTGTGTGTTCCTGTATCACTCTCACTACTCATTAAAGTTGAGGGATACATAACTAGAAATTAAATAGAAGCTCTTCAGTGAATACATTAAACAGTTTTGGATATGGTCACCAACATATTCTTATGTTATTTCATTAATCAATACTGCAAAAGCCTTCATTTACCTATGTCTGTGTGTATGTGTAGGACAGTTATAAAGTGGACCACATTTCTCTATTTTTCCTCTATGTCTTAATCTTCTTTCTCTTAAGGAAACCTGACTTTATTTTTTGGATAGTGGCCTGTATTTTTGCTCATCTGCACTTTCACCCAGACTCAGTCACTCAGGGATTCAGTGGCACCATTTATCTCTTCTGGATCACGGATATACCTTAGACATTTATCATATAAGTACTGATTTGCATTAAATCATGAATATTAAGTTATCTGAATTTAAAATTGAGAGGGGAAAAAAAAAACCTGGAATAATTTCTCCAGTAAGACTTCACCGTTTAGCTTATTGGAGACTCATATAACAGTTCTAGGGGGCTTGATTAAGTAAAAAGGGTTAAACGACATGATTTTTTTTTTTTCTGTAACCATTGTTTCATATATGGTGACGAAATGTTCAACGAGTTTAGTTGCATAATTTTCATGAGTAGGGAAACCATATAAACCCTTACTCAAGTCAAAGTAAATGCAGGGGGGCCTGGGTGGCTCAGTCAGCTAAGCGTCTGACTTCGGCTCAGGTCATGATCCCATGGTTTCTGAGTTTAAGCCCCGCATCAGACTCTGCACTGACAGTGTAGAGCCTATTTGGAATTCTCTCTCTCTCTCTCTCTCTCTCTCAAAAATAAAGATACAAACTTAAGAAAAAGAAAATGCAAAAATATGACTCTTGATCATAGGGTCATGAGTTTGAGCCCCACGTTGGGTGTAGAAATTACTAAAAATAATAATAATAATAATAATAATAATAATAAACTTTAAAAAATGTAAAAAACTGAGTGTACCACTCAGCACATATTTATGGCATGTTTTTTTATGTTCAAGGTTTTGTGCTAAGAACCTTGGATATATAAACAAGTGGGATATAGCTCACAACTTAGTGCACTGAAAAGCAAAGCATATAAACCTAGTTTCAGGACAATTTGGTAAGCGCTATGATACAAGCATGGGCAGTGTTTAATGAGAACCCGGAATCCATGGTCTGTCCTTGTGGGTCAGGAATGGCACCTTGGGGAAATGATGTCTGAGCTGACCTTGAAGAAAGACTTTCCATTTCCCTGATGAAGGGAGAATGAGACATGCCAGATAGAGGGAAATACTAGAGGAAAGGCTCAGAAGTGAATAGAATTCTGTCTTCATTTTATTAAAAACAAGGAGGCATCGAATGTTAACTTTGAACACGTTTCCACTTCAGAAAACATCATTCCCTAGCCCATAACCACAGGGATAATCATCTCTTAAAATAACTGAGTTTCTAATTAATCTTTTAGATTTTATTAATATTCTACCTGTTTTTATGAACCTCGCTGGACACTGATTACAGCCAAGCAAATAATCTTCTTCTGCAGTGGAGCTAAGAGATGAAATTCAAACTCTACCTTGGTGGTAAAAAAAACAAGAGCTATCTGGTAAAGGAAAATTTTTAACGAGCGGCTTTGGTACAAAGAAGGAAATGAAAAATGAAAGAAATAAATAAAGGACGGTTTTAGGACCTGACTAATTAAGTTTGTGAAATTGGCCGAAGGGTTTTCTCCGGTGAAAATACAACCAAGTTTTTCCTGACATACAGAATCCCTGACAGCTTTAATTGCATGTGTGATTCCCTCCTCACCCCTCTGCCTCAGTCCCGGCCCCCCAGCCTCTTCCCAGGCAGCCGGGCAGGGAGCCAGTCTATTTCGGCCTTATGCTTCCTCTATTTCTTTTGCCCACAAATGAGCAAACACACGTATCTTTCCTTCTAGCCCTTTCCTACTTCCATGAAGGTAGCCTACAACAGGTAAGCTTCTGCACTTTACTTTTATCGCTTCCAAATATGCCCCGGGAGTTACTCCGAATCAATTCATAGGCGTCTTCCTTATTCTTTTTAACAGATGCATGGTATTCACGCGGATGCACTGTGGTGATTCAACAGTTCACCCATACATCTGGATATTTAAGTAGTTTTTGAAGTTTCTTTCAAAATGTTTATTTTTGGGAGAGAGGGCGAGCGAGCGCATGCTATTGGGGGAGGGGCAGAGAGAGAGAAAGACAGAGGATCCAAAGCGGGCTCTGGGCTGTCAGCACAGAGCCCAGTGGGGGCTCAAACCCATGAGCCAGGAGATCGTGACCTGAGCCGAAGTCAGGGTGAGCCACCCAGGTGCCCCTGCCCCTTTGTCTTTTTTTGTGGGACCGGAAAGTGGATTCATTTAGGTTTTCTTCCGAACCTACTGTTTCTGGTTTGTCTTTCCAGCCACTGTAGTTGCCGGTTTTATCTCCTCTTTAGACTTGGGTTCTTATGAAAACGTTTGATATCCTTAAGTGGGCATCACTTGTCTCTGGGCCCACTGGTGGTATTTCAGTACACTTAATTTTGGGGTTTCCTGGGGGAAGTACTATTTGTTCCTCAGTTGGAGAAAAATCCAGGTGGAGTTTCTGGAAGTCTTTCCGGGTTAGAATCTGCCTGGTGCTGAAGGCACAAGTTTTGGATTTCCCCTCTGAGAGTGTGCCGGTCAGATTCTTGGCAAATGCTTGCTGTTCTACAGGGAAGAGTGGTCCGTGTCAACCCATTCACCATCGACATCCTCCCCTCCCTGAGACCGGCACTTCCCCACCCATCTGTCATTCTCTTTCTCTTCTTTTGAATTCTAGAATGTCTGCTTCTGAGATGCAATCTAGCATCGAATTCTCTGTATTCTTGCACTCGTGCTTCTATCGAGGTCTCCGTAGGCTCACTCCAGGATTTCTTCTGCAACATCTGCGGATATGGTGCTCAGGAGAGCTGAACCAAAGTTCCAGATGATGTCATCACAGTTTTCTTTTTGTGTGTTTTACACAGGCCAGATCTTGGAGGGGTCTCGGTCATAGCCAGAGGAGCTATGACCTGTCTTGGAATAGTGTTGATTACTACTGTCATGACTTTCCTAGACCTTTGGTCAATTACAAACTTGTTGGCCTCAGCTTTGAGCAATGATGGCACGCTTGGGCAGCAAACAGAAGGCTCTTGGTTATTTCTCTTCGACGGGGCTGCAGAAACCCCTGCCCAAAGGATCAAAGCTAAAGAGAAAAAGTGCATGAATTCCCACCAGTCTGGAGAAAAGGTCCCTGAGCATCACCCTTACTTCAAATCTCTTGTCAGAACTTGCTGTGTGCTTTAGTAATTTATTTGCTAACCTGGGGGTGGGGGGATCACGAATCAAGTGGCTGAAATGTCAAACATGTCTGTCACTGTCCTGCTTTGGTCTCTCAAGGATATTCTTACATCCACAGCCTGTTGCGACCCTGTGCTGTGTTTGGAGCGTCTCTTCCCTGGGGCGTGCTGCACCGCAAGGTCCCCTGTCTTCAGGTTTGCAGTCACTGTCCTCTGTCTCCTTTTCCCTGGGGAAGGATTGCAAAGCAGCAATATCTAGGTAACCTCAGAGAAACATGCAGCTGGGATAACACTGGTATTTTCAACCTCACTTCTGATGTTTCTTCTGCTGAGTTCAATCATTACACCCAAAGATATCTTGGTTGCAGGTGCACTGCTGTTCCTTAATAGAGGGTCCATGAAACTCTGCAATACTACATTCACTTTATCCTTTTGTTTTACATTTCTATTCTTGATATTAGTCACACTCACGCTCTGGGTATACAAAGGCTTTTGCAGAAGCTTACCATGGCTATGCATAAGTTCCAAGAACCCGAACCAACTTAATGGGTTAATGAGATTCTTACTTCTCAGCTTTGCTATTCGAACACCTGGATCTAAGACAGTGTGATTGTGACAGAGGACATCTTTCAGCACCCAGGAAAATGATTTGGGTGTCTGCGTGATGGTGACCAAATTGAGCCATAAACATTACCAGCCTCCCCAGTGGGTTCATTTGGTTGTTAGCTGAAAATCCCCAGTTGGATTGGTAGTGACCATAACTCTAGAGAAATCGCAGGGCAGAGAGGCCAGTGGCTCTGCTTGATCAAACTCTATACCGACTGCCAGTTGCCGGAAAGCTGGTGGTTCCCCAGGAACCACTGGCTGCAGCCCGGCTAGGTCCTCAGAAAACCCGTACTGCCGAACCCGACCAGCCCTCCTGTGTAAACTTTTTTAAGCTAACCAGAATTCGTCTCTGTTATTTGAAATCAAAAGAAAATGACTGGTAGGCAACCAGAGCTGAACTCACAGTTAGTAAGTTTTCCCGTTATTTTGCTATGAGTTGGTATCTTTCAGCTCAAGGATTTAGAGTGTTAGCTATTGTTCATGTCAGTGTTTGACTTCTTTGGGGATTTAAGACTTTTGGTTTTGACCGTACTGGTTGCCATTGTTTTCAGTGGTTTAGTAATGAGCAAGTATTCATTTCATTACATGGGATGAATTTGGCTAGTTCACATAAATTACATTTTAATGTCCAGGTTGGCTACATTTAACTTCTTCCCAGAAACGTGAGGCCGGAATGGCTGTGATTGCGGAAGTCGTTTACTTGAAAATACCCTTGGTGAGCTGGGCAGTATTCCCTGCTTCAGGGTCCGCCACATAGCAGAGGCTTTTCAACCAAGGGTTTAAGAAAAATCACCAGCTTTAACATTATATCAAGCACGAAACACCCAGGTTAAAACTCAAGATTTAAGGTGAACAATTTAAACCAACGTAATTCTAATGGGAAAATTTAAAAAAAAAATTTTTTTAAGTAAATTCCTTGGTGACAAAAATGGTAACCATATTTGCAGGAAATAGGGCCATAATTTAAGGAAACTGGTGTGCCATAATTTAAGGAAATCTGATTGGAGAGAGGGAGTGGTACATTCCGGGCTGAGGGAGAGAAGTCCTGGGGTTTGCTTTTCCTGCTAAACTACTAATTCCTGCTAACTCCTGGTTTGGCTTGTTCTGCTAAATAGCTGTGTTCTTGAGCAAATTCGCTTTTCACTGCTTCAGTTTTTTTCATTCATGGAATTGGAGGCAGATTTATATTACATCTAACTCTCTTTTTTTAAAATTTTTAAAAAATTTTAAAAAGTGTTTATTTTTGGGGGGGGAGGGAGAGCATCAGTGGGGGAGGGGCAGAGAGAGAGGGAGACACAGAATTGGAAAAAGGCTCCAGGCTCTGAGCTGTCAGCACAGAGCCTGATGCAGGGTTTGAACCCACGAACTGTGAGATCATGACCGAAGTCGGAAACTTAACGGATTGAGCCACCCAGGTGCCCCTAACTCTCTTGTACGATATATGAAAATCTACATTCAACAAAAAATTAAATGAGGAAATAAGTATTTGTAGTAAATCATTTTTATAAGAATATAAAGGGAGTCTTTTTCTTGTGGAGCTCCTAAGGGGTACGTACATATTATTTACATGTGACAGCATATAGAAAGTTGCATGTAGGCATCCAACAAATGGCAAATGAATGACAAAAGATGAGCAAAAATCCCTCAAACATATAAAAGCTACAGCCAAAGAAGTCTGTGAAATAATGGTAAAGATAAATCATAATCCTACATAATCTTTCAAGAAAATATGATTTGATTTTAGACACGTTTCAAGAACATGTACGCTGAATAAACTCAGGTTCATGTCTGGAACCACTGAGAATCTCACTGGACTTAGTGATCGAACAACCTTCTAAGCAAAAGAGAAGTAAGTTATGAAGATTAAAGCAGAACATATAATATGGAACTTGTGTATCAGCATGATAAAAAGGAATCATCAGGCTAATATACGGCTGCAGTTTCCAATGTAACATTATTCTGTTTCGTAAAAAAGAGACGTTGAAAGTTACCAGTTTGTGGTGGCGGGACACTTTTCATCTGTTTTCCCATGACCCAGAAGGCCACTCAGTTTCTTAGATTTGGCACATGTATAGACTGCTGATAGTATAGAGAATGGATACACATTCCTTTCACTAGGTGAAAGGAATTTCTTCTTTTCATTTCTTCCACCGATGATCTTTCTCGGTAATCCTTTTTTTCTCACTGTATAAGAGTTCATGTGATCTCACTGCTGGGTGAGCTTACTCTCTGGTCTTAGCTGGTTGGATAGGATACATAGCTGCCCCCGGGCAGTTGGTTACACACATTACTTGGGCCAATTAGAGTACTTTATTGTGAATTTAGAATTCATGAAACTAAAGACCACGCTGGCCGGTGTTGAGAAGCACAGCCTATCAGATGAAGAACCAGAGAGGTCCTGTACGTCCTACAGAGTTAGAACTGATGTGGCCAAGTGAAAATAATGGGCAGAGATGCTGTAGAAAGGAGGGGTACATGGGCGAGGGGAAAGGGAAGGTGAAGGAGGGGTGGGGAGAGGAAGAGCGAGAGAGAATCTTTTGGCTCTTAGCCCCTGGTCTCTGTTCTTTTGAGGCCAGACACTTTGGCTCCTTTCCTTTGGTCTCTGAGATTCCTTTGCGTTCTGTACTAATCATGTGTCTTTTACTACCTTGAATGGTCCTCTGTTTCTTGCAATCGCAATAACTTTAATTAAAATATCTCAGACTGTCTCCCTCGTGATGCCAACTACTCTCTGCAGTCAACACAGCATGATATTTAGAAAACTCGTACTGTAATTGTTCATGAGTAACTGTGAATTCTTCAGAAGAGAGACGTGTATCCATTCAGCACAACTATCCACGGACCACTCACATGCAAAGCACTGTGAAGACGTTAGACTCACCCACTTTTAACCTGCCTGTGACCTCCCCTTCAGAGTTGCGTGCGTTGACGGTCACATTCTGAGTTGACTGCAGAAGCAGAGATGAATCCTAGAAGGGCATTTACAGAATGTGACAAATACATACTATTCACTCATTTACTCACTTATTTTTAGAGAGACATATTTTTAGACTTATTTTTACTGTGTACATGTGCGCTCCGTGGGCAGGAACAACCAAAGGGATGGAGAGGGAGAATCTTAAGCAAGCTCCACACTCAGTGCGTCGGTGTAGAGCCCAACGCAGGGCTTGATCTCATGATCCTGGGATCATGACCTGAGCCAAAGTCAAGAGTCAAACACTCAAGTGACTGAGCCACCCGGGCACCCCAATGAATAGATAGTATTCAAAATGACTGTGGGGCACCCGGGTGGCTCGGTCGGTTAAGCGTCCGATTTTAGCTCAGGTCACGATCTCGCGGTTCGTGGGTTCGAGCCCCACATCGGGCTGTGTGCTGACAGCTCAGAGTTGGGAGCCTGCTTGGGATTCTGTGTCTCCCTCTCTCTGCCCCTCCCCACTCACGCTCTGTCTCTCTCTCTCTCCAAAATAAACAAACATTAAAAATTTTAAATAAAAAATAAAATGACTGTATATTTGTATTCATATATAAATTTAGGATTTATATAAGATACTTTTTCCATAGTCAGAGATCCTGTGGCCCTACACAGTATTTTAAAATCTTGGATTATACTATGTTAAAAGAGTACATGAAAATTTTTTACTCCAACAGTTTCAAACAATACGTATTTATTATATTATTGATTTTGTGGGTCAGGAGTCTCGGCACAGGCTACCTTGGTCCCCTGTTCAGGGTCTCAAGGGGACTGAAGGGCTGAGGATCCATTCCAGACTCAAGAGCTTCTTCTAAGCTCATGTGGTTGCTGGCAAAATCCATTTCCTCGCTGCTACAGGGTGTCCTAACTCCTTTTTTCATAAATTATAATATTTTTATGGGTTCGCACTGCTCGCATGCAATGGCTATAGTGTACCACGTTAGCTCTCTGGGTGAAGATCTAAAATAATCGAGTTTTAAATCAGTGTTTTTTCCTGTTCCAAGGAATAAAAATTTCTTAATAAAATATTAAAATATTAAAATTTTTTTAATATCTATGTCCAGGACATGACATATTTTTAGAAGATAAATCAGAGCATGGTTAGTTCTTCTGTAAGAAACACCACATTACTTATTTTCAAAATGTAAAGCCTTTTCACAACTTCACAAGAGCTTTTTAAAATTTGTCAGATATCTATATTTTTTAAACTTTTGTTGGAAGATAAGGTGGCTTTATGTCATAAGCGCCTCCTGTGGTATCATAGTTCCGAATGGCTGGTTTTGCATTACAGAAGATTGTTTGCTTTTATATAAGCAATTTTCTTCAAAAAAGAACGCAACGATTTGGCTGTTGGATTCAGGCGGGTTTATGATCCATTCAGAGGGAACTGAATGTCTTCCAAAGTTGTAGCGAGTAACTGTGATTTTTCAGAAGGAAAGAAGTTTCAGGAACGCTCTGGAACTCTGGCAGGTCCGAAATTCTCCCCATCGCTTTGTGGAAGCAGATGACCTATCGGCATCTCATGTTTCATCCACTGATGTGACCTTGATACTTGTCTTCACATTGTTCAAAAATAAGTAGCACGGTAAGAGTTAACGGTTTACCGGTTTCTTACGTAGAGCCTCGGCGTGCAGGGGTGTGAGGAGGGGCTCACCTCCCGCCGTCTCGGGGCTCTCCCTGTGTGGTGGCCTCCTCAATGGTGAGCTTTAGCCTGTGAGCTTTAGGTTGGCTGCTCTTCCTTGGACTCCCAACCATATCTTCTCAACTCGGGGAGGACCCCTGCCTCTTCGTTGGCCCCGCTCCCTCACCGTGGCCTTCGAAACTCTCTGCAAGTAGCAAACTGGGGCGGTCCTGGGGCTCACCTCTTGTGTCCGCCTCTCAGAGAGAACTGTCCTGACCGCCACTGTCCAACGTCTGCAAACTGTCCTACTCCATTTTGGTGCTCTGACAGAATACCAGAGACTCGGTGGCTTATAAACAACAAAGGTTTCTTTCTCGCAGTTCTGGACACTGGGAAGTCCAAGGTCATGGTGCTGGCAGATTTGGTGTGTCCAGTGAGACTCACTTTCAGGTTCACAGAAGGGGCCTCCCAGCCTCCAGCTCACCTGGTGGAAGGGGTGAGGGAGCTCTCTGGGGCCTCCCTGATCAGGGCACTGATTCCCTCATGAGGAAGTCGCCAAAATCCCACCTCCTAATACCATCACCCTGGGGGTTAGGGTTTCAACATGTAACTTCCAGGCCACAGCAAAAACCATGGTTTCTGATACATTTTCAGGTTTTTTAGTTGTTTAATAAAAGCGGGTAAGTCTGTTTCCTGTCATTTCTGTCTCGTATTACCTGTTTTGATTTTTATCATTTCTTGTCTTTTTCATAGAAGCTCCTCAAAAACAGCTTTATCTCTGTGAGATGCTTAAGTGTGCTTTTCCAGTCATTTTCAGAATGATTATTTCTACTTAGTTGGAAGTTAATTCTCTTTCTGGGGAGTTTAGTTGGAATCCTTTTTTTAGATGAAAGCTTCCTTATGTGGTTTCCAGTCTCAGTCTCAAGCTTCCCTCTGTGGATGTATTTTGATTTCTGGATTTACCGAGGCTGTCTAAGGGCTTCCCCATTGTTTTCATTGAGACCCCTGGGTTTCTCAGCCTTGTCATGGTGGCTCAGGGCTCGTGTCCTCGGATGACATTCGGGTCTTGGTCTGGCATCTTTATTCAAGTCTGGGCAGTAGGTGCAACTATTTTCTGCCTTTCATTGCTGTCTCATGCAGTGGGTCTGGCTAGAGCCCCAAGCAGTCCCATCAGGCAACATTCTGGTCCCTGTGTCTCTGTGGGCTTTGACTGTAAGCTGTCCCTGCCTCTTTCCAGGACTGCGAACTTCAAAGACAATCATTCCAAGTAAAGCTTTACCATTGCGTGTTTTGCTTTCATTTCGTCTTTGACGATGTCTGTATGTTGCTAACTACAACTTTTTTGTTTTATCAGTTATAATTGCTATGTGCTTAGGTTAATAATGGGCAGGATAGGTGGTTATAAATCATGAGTTCCAGGCACAATCTTCACAGGACCTCATGTATTAGCTTTGAAGAGTTACCAAGTAATCATATGTTAGAAGCCAGAGTACCATGTTGAATTATATTTAGAATAAGGAAATTCTCTCACCTCAGCAATATACATAAATTAATATGTGCCAAATTTTGTAAATCCCATTTCTGTAATTTTACGGAAAATTACCTCCTAGACTCATCTTTGAAAAGGAAACATAAGTAATACATCGGTGCACACAGAATATATAAGACCTAATTTTGTTCAGTTAATCCAATTATTGGAAAGCCATATTAGTTACCAGATACTTTATAGCTCTGTGATCACATAATATCATTCCAAATGTTTCTATAATTTTATGTATCGATCGACATACTGCATCAATGCATCATTGCAAGAGTTTAATATATGATTATCTAAAATAATTGACATAATTTTGCTCCCTGATTTTTTTTAAGTATATGGAGATAGAAAAAATCTGATAAGATATAACTAAAAGTACTATTAAGTCCAGAATATTAAATTTGCTAGAACTAATCACCTGATTTCAGCCATCAGGCTATTTTACCAGTCTTCTCTCCTCAAAACTATAGGTAGGGAATCAGCCAACATAACTCTGGGGGGGGGAAATGGTTCTAATATTTAAATTCTTTGCTCACATCTGACTTCCCCCTTTACATAAGTTTGGGTTTATTCCCCATGTTTCCATATGACACGGCTATTTAATACACTGAAATGCCATCACGATTCACGTAAGTGTCTTAGCTCTTCAGCTAAGCTCACGGCATCTGGCTCACGCATGTATCAGCCTGTCCTATTCCAGGTCATTTGTGGGTTCCTCCTGTCAACTGAGACATTATCAGAAGTAATACAATAGTGCCTAAGAGCTACTAATGTGCCTTGCACTCTCGAGACTCCTTGGCAGTGTATTTATGTGCAAGTCTTACACGGTATCCCATTATGGTTGGTAGTAGGGCTTGGTGACCGTTCTGATGGCTGTGTGGGGGTGTGCTTTACCCCTCCTATAAGACCACATGCTTCTCAGCAGTTGGCCTTTTGTATCCTTTCCAATTGCCCTAGAGTCACTCGAAGAGCCTCAGCATGTAGGAGGTACTGACACCTCCTTTCACATGTGTAAACACGGGAGGAAAATGAAGAGTACACTCTTCATCCAACCGGTAGGTTACAGTTGGGTGAAGTCTCAACATTTTATTGAGATGACACCCAACCAATAATTTAGCAAAAGGTTTACCTTTACTACGAAGTCCATAGCATCACATGAAGAAAAATAGAACATATTACAAAAGCTATTTGACTGTGTTTCACGCTTGGCTCTATTTGTTACAAATTTCATGGAGGTAAATGAAGATAATACGGAGGCAGATTTATTTTTAAAGTCACACAATTATTTAACAGATATGTTTAATCTACTTGTGGAGAATCCCACAGGACCATAATCTATAATTAGCGTAATTAGTACAGAACGTGCTACAATGAAACTAATTTCTTTCTAAGCTTCTCAGATAATTTTAAATGCCTTGAGAAAAGTGTCTTTAAATTACCTGCACTAATGGAAAGAGGTTTAGATTGCCTTTGATAAAGGTTTTAATTACCAAACGTTTTTAATTATGGTTTAAATTTCTGAGGCCACTGAGTTCAGAGCTGAAGCACATGAAAATGGCATCTTTTTATAATATAATATCGGAAATAAGTTTTACAACCTTCTACCAAGCTTTTATAAAGCGTGTAACATGAACGCGTGTACATATATACGTTCTAAGAACTCTCTTCCGAAATAGCTGAATTTCTATGCTTAACGATTACTAATTTTTCATAAAACACAACACATTTGCATGTTTCATCACTTTCTTACCACTCTGGAGTGTATTTCCTTGGCGTACAATGGGAATAAAAATTCTGACTCCCCTTCCAGGCGAAGACCATCCTTTGTAACACGCAAGTGACCCATTCCTGTCTGTTAAAAAGACGAGACAACAGAGATTATGTTTTTGCTTTCCTTTTCTTTTAGTATCAGCTAAAATTATAGATGCATTTTCGTAAATCTTCTATTGTCACTCTTCTGGATTTCTCTTTGCTTAAAACCTTCGTTGTTTTTATTAAATTGTCAATATTTCATTAACCCTTGCGTAATACAAAGGACTATTTAGGAAATACGTATGAGATTGAAAGAGTCACTTCACAATAAACACCCGAGAGTCGCCACCATGTAAGAAAAAGACTCTTACCATTACTATTTAAAACTGTTTTTTTAAATTAAAATGTAATAAAATGGGCTGTTTTGAGGTGTACCATTCTATGAGTTTTAACACGTGTAGCCACTGATACAATCAGGGTACACAACAGTTCCATCACCCCCACCCCCATGGTACTATTGAAAAAAAATTTTTTAATGTTTTTATTATTTTTTAATTTTTCAGAGAGAGAGAGAGAGAGAGAGAGAGAATCCAAAGCAGGGTCCAGGCTCTGAGCTGTCAGCACAGAGCCTGACGCAGGGCTTGAACTCATCAGCTGTGAGATCATGACCCGAGCTGAAGTCGGACACTCAACTGACTGAACCACCCAGGTGCCCCCCCCATCCCCCCACCACCATGACACCTTCTTGAGGTTTCATGTGTATCAGGTAAGTTTACAATATAGCAACTGTTCGGTGGCCATTTCTTAAGCACAAAACCATATAGGAGGATGTGAAGCTCTATTCAAAGGGTCTGTTCTCAAAGAATTTTTTATCATGAAGAATGACCACAAAGGATAGAAGACTTAATTGTGGAGATCACCAGTGACCATCATGCTATTAAATCTCGTGGACATTTTTAAACTTCATTCCCTTTGCTTTCTCAGCAGCATTTAACACTGGACCTCTTTCTCGTTGGTACCCTATCCTCACTCGATTTCCAGGACACCAGGCTCTCTTAGCTTCTTTCCTTGGCCTCCATATACATTCATCCTCCTCTGCCCAGCCCTGGACTGCTGGCTTCCTCAGCAGTCCAGCCCCTTCCTGTGAGCCTTCTCTGACCACACCCTCAGCTCCCAGTACCATCTCAGTGTGGAAATTCTCACCTGTTTTTATCTGCAGTTTACATTTTCTCTCCTGAGCTCCAGACCCATATATACAATTCTCCATCTCTCCTTCCCTTTTGAAAGTTTGGTAACACCTAAATACAACAAACTGAATTCTGATCTCCCCTCTCTTCTGAGTCTAGAGTTAGATTTTAAAAAGGGAGAGTAGAATGGTCAGATAAAATGGAACAATGACATTAAGCACAATTTTATACAGTGAGAGGTGACTTCTGGGACAGAGATCTGTTACTGTGAACTGATGCCACAGACTTCTCTTCTCAAGAACTCCACTGACTGATAAGCCCTGTTAACAAGAACCAGATTCAGTCTGGAATCATTCAGCCTGGCTAGCTGTCTGTGAGCCACCATTATGGCCCTCTTCCCAAAGTGGGTGTGGGAGCAGTGGATTTTGCACTGTGATCAATGGAAGTCCCTCAGTGCTGCTGGGCTTGGGTCAACCGACACCACAGGCAGAGAAGCTTTCCCGAGTCACTCTTACATTTGTGACTGAGTGTGTAGCTTTGGAGGCAGGGCTCCAAATCTAAAAAGTTGACAGCCACTATGGTACAACTTCTCACAAAATGTAACCGTGCAGTTGTAAGACACAGTTTATGAAATGAAGCTAACGTGAGCAATGTTGTAAGATCCATCATGTGTGTATAATAAACCAATTTTTAGCAGACAACTGCATCAGGAACTTTTGGTCCTAGAATTAGCCAAAGTGAGGTTCCAACATTGTACATTCAAATCTGAAAATCTACTGTGGATTTCTGGGTTCAACCGAACAGATGCCAGGAGTTTTTCTGACTCTGTTTCGCTACATCGGCAGAAAACAACAAAAAAGTAATGCAGATCCCAGCCTCTGAAGCAGCTTATTTATATAATCACATCGCAAAAGGTGATTGTTCTTTGTCATGTGTCATTTCCTCCTCTGGCTTTTTCATTCATTGAAAAATGAGGAAATTGACATGAGATGACCTCAGCCCATATTCTATGGTTTTAACAAAATGAATTACAAACCTCTACAAACAATCCATC